AGTCCTACAGTGTGACTTCTACAACAACAATCAAACCAAAAACCAATAGGAGCACAGAACCTGATAATTAGTGAGACAACAACAAACCTCCAGTTGCTCCACACTATCCCACCTCAATGCAGCTCAGTGGTATCTAATAATAATTACTAGTATCCAATAAATAAGAACTAGAATCTAAAGAAAAAAACGAATATGTAATAAGTACTAGTACTGTATCTATAAAAGGTACAAGAATGTCATTACTAGTATAGATAGATAGATTTGTGACTAGAATTCTGGAATTTCTATGGTATCAAAATGTTGCTATTACAAAAACCTTACTTAAAGTTAAAATAACTATATTGTGATATATATTGCTGTCATGAAATAAAATTACTCCTATCGTGATGTAAGACTTCGGTCATATCACCCACCCCTCATTCTCCCTTTTCAGTTCTTACCTGTTTGCATCCCTGATCAACCGTGTGTGTCTGTTTTTAATGTCAGACTGCACTACAGTCAAGATGCACTACAGACAACCGAGATCTCACGGTGTGACATGGCTCACAGCAGGGATCATATTTGTACAGGACAGTCGTAGAGGACTATTAAAAATTGTACAGCGTGAAACCCGCTTCTAATGGGTCGATACCAGGGGTGCCCAGCCCTGTTCCTGAATAACTGGAGATTTGCAGGGAGGTAGATTTCCAGGAACAGGATTGGGCACCGCTTGTCAAGACTATTTAAACTTCACCTGTCAAAAAAAAAACAAACAAAAAAATGAACGTTTGATGTTGATACTTGTTCTGTTGTATTTGTTTTCTTTTTTTTAGGATTGAACATCTTTGGCGAGAGGTTTACACACAAGTCCTCGATTTGTTCCACATGTTGTTTTTCCATTTGGAAGTGACTGGACTGTTGAATCCTGACGATGAGATCCACCTCTTTGCTCTGCATTGGGCATTTTTTCCCCAGTTACAACATCAGCTTAACACTTTTAAAGCAACTTTGGCTGCAAAACAGAGAGGCTGCCGATGATCTGGAAACTGTATGTTTGCACATTTTAAACTCAAAATCACTTAAAGGGTTAGTTCGCTCAAATTCTTTCATCATTTACTCACTCTCAAGTTATTTCTTTGTTCTACTGAACAAAGGAAGATATGTTGAAGAATGTTTGTAATCAAAAAGCTCTGGGGCACCACTGACTTGTATGGAAACAAATGTTATGGAAGCCAGTGGTTCCCCAGAACTGCTTGGTTACCAACATTCTTTAAAATATCCTAATGTTTAACACTTACATTAATGTAATTTAACAACACTCACTCATACCTACATCAGAACAAAAAATAAATGCCTTTGTGACAAATGCTTGTAACATTTATTGGATGTTTTGGTAGATGTATAATTTAAAAGCATCTGTCCTAGTATTTTGCAAGGTTGATGATGACTATGGTGTTGACTGGGATGGACCACATGCCATGGAAGATGCAGGCAGCATTTCAATCCCAGATGTAGCGTTACCATGACATCTCACTGCAGAGGAGTTGGCAGGTCTTCCGAACCGGGAAATGCCAATAAATGAGGCAATCGATGCCTACATGAGCACAGTAGCCCAACTGACAGAGATTTTTAGACATTGAACATTTTGAACATGCATGGACATCACAAACAGCTTTTCCTTTGGCGAGTTTATTTCGACAAATGCCTGAACTACAAAATTTCCTAAGAAACATGCATGACAAAATGTATGACAATAAAAAAGTGAGAGAAACAAGTAGTTTTCTTTAACATTTGTAATTAATTTGTTCTTCACTTAACTCAAGGTTAACTTAACTTTACTCATTAGAATTTCCACCACTGCAATGAGAGCTCTTTAAATCTTCCTGTCAAGAACATGCATTTTTATAAAAGCAAGAAAGGTCAGGTGATACTTCAACATACAGGTGTTGAGGGAGAACAGCCCAGCCAGTCCAAAACTTCGGTTCTGGCCAGATGACTCTCCTAAGTATCATCTAATACAAAGATAGCAGCACTGAATACAAGCCTTAATATAGAGTTGAAACAATGCAATTCATCCACTAACCTAGTGTTTTATTACAAACAACCCACCAACTGGGCTATACGATTAGACTTTTTTATATGTATTACAGAAAATTAAATGATTGATTTAGTGCAATGGCTTCCATATGGTCTATTCTCCTAAGTAGAATAGACCAATTACCTCTGGTTCCATCAGCAGTGCAGAAGATCTGGGAAACAGTACTGCAGTTAAACTGGGTCATTCTTTTATCATTTTCAAAACACCTGTATCTTTGAGTCCTCTCCGCAGCTGAGAGATCTGTTTTTCACGTTGACCAATAACCTAGAAATGATCCACAAACAGTACAAATTATAAACACTGCAAGCCATGATGAAAGATTGAAGCTTTTGTCCTAACTTAATGGTTATGTAAAGAGGCTTACGTAGAGTTAGAAAAAGTTCAAGTACATACCCAACTGCAATTAACAAATACTTCCACCTTTATATGATAAGATACACATACCCCATGGTGGAGAATGGTTTCTGCCAACCACCTTCTGTTGCTGTTGCTGACTGCTGGCAAGTCCCAGTTGATGGCCAGGTTGTTGATATTATCTATTTCATTCTGATTCAGTTCATTCTGGCTTTCCAGTAAGACAATCATTATTCCCACAACTCTGAACAGATCACCATCCAAGAGTGCTCTGGATGTTGATGGAACCTTGTGATCATCTTCGCCATTGAAGAGCAGTGTTTTGCCACAGTTATCTGAAAAATTCATAACAAGAGCATACTTAATCATCCTTTCCTATATTATCTATGCTCATAACTATTAAATCTACTTAAAAAAAAAAAAAAAAAAATCTAAAATGTATTACATCCTGTATGTCTGTATTTCTAACAGTGACTAAAGTGGAGGTCAAGGAAATGGTATGTCCAAGCATTTCAAAATGTTTTCAATTATAACTCACCGATGTCAAGTTCAAATCCATGGTGGAGCTTTTCCATTATCAATGTGAAAAAGTGCCGTTTTACTCCATCCCCTAATGCAGCATCTCCTGTTTTTAATAGCGATTACATACAATTTAATAATCCCCAAAGTACTAATGCAAACAAGCAGAGCTACTTTACTTTTACACTGCCAACTGTATTAACCAGGATTTAAACACATGCGAATGTGGGAGATCATGCGAGGAATTCGATTTCGCTGCTTCACGTTTGGCGAACTCTTGACCTGCGAAATTGTGCGAATTCGTATCACGTGACCAGTACCGATCACAATGCGACCTTTAGCTGTATTAAAAGAATAAGAAACTTTTTGCAGTAAAGTGAAGCTTTGGATATTTTTGCGTTTTGGGTTGATTATTAAATTTTTTTGTTATGTAAGCTACGCGTGCTCAAAGTGCAGTGTGACCCGCGGCTAAAGCCATCGTCCCATTGTTTTGTCCAAAACGAGCACTTCTCATACAGACGATGGTCAACGAATGTGATCGTCAGTAACAATGCAATTGTAAGTGTCCTAACTGTTAGTCTAAATGCATTTAGGACAAATAACATGTAAATGATCATTTTGCTACTATTTCTACTTGGACATGTTACACATATCAAATCAATTTGGGTTATACATTTTCATTTTCATTTCGCAACTTATAAAGCGTTAAAACAGTATGCACTTTACATATTAAGACTACTGTTGGAAATGGCAAATGTAAATAATATAATTTCATTTTCATTTTCCTTCTGCACCAAACTTTGCACATGTGGGTAATGGAAAATGTAAATTTAAATACAGAAATACATTGCCATTTTGAATATTGCATTGCAAATTTAATTTTGCTACACATATGCTTCCATAAAAGACAGGGCAAACTAACAAAAACTCAAAAACAACTGCAGAGCACGCCACGGACGCCGCCATCATCATCGGCGCCATCTTAAATAGTAAAAATATCTCACAATATTACTGCGTTTGCTGTACTTTGGATCAAATAAATGCAGGCTTGGTGAACATAAGAGACTTCTGTAAAAAACATTAAAAATCTTATTTAATTTGATTAAGCATGGTAACTAGTTATAAAATACTACACGGTGTTTCGCTCCTTGAACGAATCTGTTTTTGATCGAATCAAGTGAGCCGGTGATTCAACGGTTCATTCACTAGTTTAGTTTCTAATGGAATCGGCCGTTTTGAACGAATCGTTTGATTTGAATGATTCAATAAATCATTTATTAAAACAGGGACTTGCCGCCACCTACCGGCGGTTTTATCTTTATTAAGCTCATAACTATTTTTTCATTAAATGAAAACCTTTTTTTAAATCAGACGAATATTGTAATCGTTATGTATGATTATGGAGCCCACACGCCCCGTGGCTGTTTTATAGTTTACTAGCGTTCTGCAGAAACTCAGACAGATCAGCCCCAGTGTTAACTACAGAAACCGCTGTGTAGTGTTCATTAGTGATTCGCGCAGCTCCGAATCTTCTGTGAATCATTCGTTTCGAATCAGTGATTCGGAGCAGTGCCGATCAAACTGCCAAAGTCACGTGATTTCAGTGAACTTCGTTACGTCACAACTGCTTTATGGTATTTTATTATTTTTATTGCATTCCATGCGTTATAAATTCAAAAATTATTTTTGTAAGTATCGCTTTTTATTTCTCCTCTTTCCTACTACTTGTTTCACTTCTGTTTCAGTTTTTTAT